CTCGTTATCGGCTATTCAGATCTAACAGACATGTTGTGTTCATTTAGTGAGATACACAGTCGATATGAACATAATCTCCCTCTACTAACTATGATGGTTTCGCGATAAACCTTGAGATCAATTTTTCCCTTTAACCCTTTATTTTCTTCGCACTTGTGTCGAACGTATAATTCACGATGAACTCTGAACACACACTACAGCAACTTCTTATATAGTCTTTTACAATCTTTCTAGAATGTTCTAACATTACATTATAGAAGTGTCCAGAAATTACGATAAAGAAGTCAAGCTTAATCTATAAATAGACATCTTATAATCCTAACTTACTAGAACTTTCTATAACGACTAATCAAGAATGTCCTGGAAAATCTAGAATATTCTATAAAACGTGCTTATAATCATTTCTTCTGTCCATCCTCCCCCTCCTCGATGGGCTGTAGGCTCATCGACTGTAGAACTCTGCGACCTTATTCGTGGCATGTCAATCATCTATTTCGCACTCCAGCGGGCATAATCTTGATATAGGCCTTTCAAAGATTTTCTGTCCAATCCTGACTTTAGCAACTCTCACATGTCCATCTTTGCCAAGAATCGTCTCAGTTATTCTGCCCAACGGCCATTGTCCACGTGGCGTATCCGGAGAAATTACTAATACTGTGTTGCCAACTTTTAAGTCTTTGCCTTGTTTGAACCACTTTTTCCTTGCATTTAACTTCGGTAACCATTCTCGCATCCAGCGGTTCCAAAAATGTCGAACTAGTTCTTGAACGCGTCTCCATCTTTTTCGAAGATTAAAATCTGTCTCGTCTACGGATTCGGGAGCGAACTTTCCGCCGACCTGACCATGAAGGAAATGGTTCGGTGTTAATGGGACGTTATCTGCTGGATTGGCTGACTGATAGGTTAACGGTCGAGAGTTTATAAGTCCTTCAGCACCTGTAAAAGCTGTCATCAACTCCTCGTCTGTTACATCAGCATTTCCTAATATTCCACATATTGCTCTCTTAGCTGCCTTGATCATCGTCTCGTGTACGCCCCCAAAGTGAGGAGCCAGAGGAGGGTTGAAATGCCATTTTACCCCTCTATTTGCAATTGAACTTGCAATCTTGTTCTTGTCTAGTTTCTCTACCAGCTCTCGTAGTTCTCGATCGCCTCCCACGAAATTGGTTCCATTATCCGAAATCATTTCTTCTGGAAGCCCTCGTCGACTTGCCATTCGATAAAACGCATTGAGAAATGAATCAGTGTCGAGACCAAATGCAATCTCCAGATGTACCGCTCTTGAAGTTAAGCACGTGAACAGGCAAAGGTATCTTTTAGCTCTACGCTGTCCTCTTCCTTGGATTGTTATAAACGGGCCTCCAAAATCAACTGCTGTGCGAGCGAAAGCACGAAGCGGCATCTTAAGCCTGATCTTTGGTAGAGGTGCCATGATTTGCTGAGCTGCCTTTGCTTTTCTTCTTCGGCATTCGTAACATTCTCCTTCGCACTCTCTAATTTCTTCTCGACCTTGCATTACCCAGAAACGCGACGAAAGCATTGCTAACGTTTGGTTTGTCCCTGCTGTGTGATTTCCTTGCTGATGAAACCACCTTACTATCAGCCTCGTTACCCACTCTTTTCTAGGCAATATTATGGGATACTTGACATCGTATGGTAAGTACTCGGCATTCTCTAATCGGCCATCTGACCTCATCACACCGTCGTCGTCCAGTCTTGGCTTTAACGTAAGTAACTTGCTGGTGATGGGAAGTGGTTTTCCAGAGGATAATGCTGAATACTCTGCTTCAAATGCCCTTTTCTGTGCTGCTTTTATGATCCTGTTCTCAGCATCCTGGATTTCCTCGACAGTCAGCTCATCCCTTGTTCGTTTACTGCTTGGAAGTAAGCAGTTGTTCAGGAAACGGTAAATCCATGCTTGGATTCTGGTTAGTCTCAACCAACTCGAAAAACGTTTTGGTTCTAAGCGCGGTTCGTCTTCTCCTTTGATAACCACCATAGTTCTGCCTCTTTTATCGCAGGTGTCTAGCTGGCACCTTTTTGTTTTCCTTACTTCTGTATCAGATGCACTGGCATGTGGGATCTTGTTTATTGGCCAGTCTGATGGTTTCTCTTTGAGGTAACTCGGTCCTTCCCACCATGAAATCTTTTCGGCAAGTTCTGGAACTGTTAATCCTCTCGTGACAAAATCCGCTGGATTGTCATCGGTTGGCACGTATCTCCATTGGTTAGGGTTACTTGATGATTGGATCTCTCCGATTCGGTTTGCTACAAATGACTTGAAGACTCTACTTGGTCGGTGTATCCACCATAGCACGTTCATACTGTCTGACCAATACGTGGTTAAGCTTGGATCAATGTCTAATGCCTTGGCTATTGACATACTCAATCTCAATCCCAACACTGCCCCCATCAACTCAAGACGTCCTATACTCATGGCTGTAAGCGGTGCGACCTTTGATTTCGATGCCACCATTCGTACAGTAACGATCCCATTTTTGTACTCACTTCTTGCGTACACCACTGCTCCATACGCCGCTGTTGAAGCGTCGGCAAACGAATGTAAACTTGTTGAAATCACCTCATCAAAATTAGGTTTCAGGCATCGCGGAACTCGTACGCACTGTAGGGACTCTAACTCTTGGAACCATTGTCTTGCCTTTTTTGCTTGTTCCTCTTTCATCTGTTCATCCCAGTCTATCCCGGTGGTCCACATTTCCTGTAGAATGATTTTGGCGCGAACGGTGTATGGTGCTAGAAAACCCAAGGGATCGAAGAGTGTTGCGATACTCTTGAGAAAATTCCGCTTTGTAAACTTGAATTCCTTTCCTGGTGGGTGTGCCTTGTAGGTGAACATGTCCTCCTCAGCTACCCACAGTACCCCAAGCGTCTTTACCGATGGTAGATGGCCTTGGTCTAAGTCTACCTCGGAGGCTCTGTCATCGACCGGTATTTGTTCCAGCACCTTTGGGGAATTCGATAGCCATTTTCTCGCATGCATTCCAGCTCTTTCCCACAATTCTGATAACTGTCTGTACAGTTCTATTCCTGTGTGGTCATCTGAAGTAGAGTCCATGCTATCGTCCATGTAGGTTGACTTCAAAATCGTCTCTGCTGCCACTGGAAA